AATGGGTTTTTCCTCTACAAGATTGAACCTGTTGAAGCTTTATTGTATTAATGTCGGATATGGTTTTTAATATTTGGAATTGGATGGAGTCTCAGTTGATGGATACAGAAGACTGGGCTGGCTGTAGTATATTTTATCTCACTGTATTGTACTGTCGTCCAGTGACTGGGTAATACGTGCTGACGAGCAGTGCTTTTCTTCGGATGAGATATGCGCCTCTCTTGGGACGGATTGAGTAGGGGAGTTACATTTCCTGTAGTCTTTTATTCTGCTAACCATGGCTGGGTCAAAATGCGATGAGACTAAACATTCGAAGTGGTTTGGTGCAGTTGTCAACTTCCTCCGTTCTCACCTGATTTTGTTACTGATATGCCACATTGTCTCAGCACATTCCGAACAGTTGCTTGAAAGTGATTCTACTTGCTGACCTGTCACGTGGCTAGTGTGTACATGAAGTAACATCTTATTGGGATGGTACAACTTCCACTCTAAACAATTCTATCTATCGTCCCTTAGTGTGTGAGATACACTTCTCTTTAGCTGATGATTCGTAAAGTAACTTGATGCGGGTATTTATGTGTGGCTGGTAAATGAAATGAATGACCCAAGAGTGGATGGATGAACATTTAGCTTGCTGACGACTTAGTGTGCATTCACTGTTACTGATCTCTACTCCGGCCTCGTCACGTGTGGACTGCCTGTCAATTTACTGATTGTGTCACGTAAGTGTTATCATGTGCTTCAGTCTCTGTCTAGCGTTTTGACTCAGTACTTGGGCTATTATTTTGTCACTGTGAAATTGCTGAATGTCTAATGAGATCATGGACAGACCAATGTTGAACCGACATTGAAAGCACCAGACGGTCACTTTGTACAAGAGTGGGGCACCTCATATTTATAAGAGGCCACAAGATTGTATTCTTCATGTCATGGCCTTCAATTCGTTGAAATTACAGTTTTCTTCAGTTCTCTTTCGAAGGACGGTTGGTTTACTAGTTTATTGCGATCTCTGTATACAAACATCGTGGACTGAATGGAGGTGTAAAACCACGTCTTTCGGTTGTTTAGTTCTATTTGTTGAATCTGGGGGGTTGACACTGCACACGGTTCCTCTGCAGATATGTAATTTATGTTAATCTGATAACATTTGCAATGGAAGTGTGTAGTGGTTGTGTGTGTCTATTACTTGGAGAAACATCCTTCGAGTGTGTGCAAGCGAATTATATTTTCGAACCTTGAGATTATATACAAGTTACACAATGCTTGTTGTCGTCGTGATATTTGTCTGGTTTTAAAAGGTAGATTTCGTACATGACTGACATCTATTTGTCTGTCATGAGATCCAATTGTAATCTAAGAGTATGGTGTTGGTCAAAAAAAAGTAATTTTCGGCATTTTTCGAGACTCACTTGATCGGATATCAGTCTGACAGCAGTTGCATCGATATAGTTCGAATATTGACCAGTTGGTCTAAATCGTATTGATCTCAAGGTAACATCAGGGCATATCATTTACTGGCTGTTGGACGCTAATGCAGCTTCTTACGTTCGTTCGCATGATAAGCAGGGTAGAACGCAACACATGATACCATGTGGCTGATCCATGATTAATTAACAAGAACACTATGAATGTAGAATGTAAAACAATAATTTATGCACCATACAGATGCTTACGAGTAGGAAAATACTACCACAAAGTAACCCGAGTATTTACCAGTTATGAGACATGGTTGTAATTGTTATTTTTAGAGCTTAAACTCCTAATATAACACGCATAACTTAAACACTCGAACTCTAAAGCCCTCCAATTTCGCAAATAAAAAGACTGGAGTGAGTTCTTTTTGAGCAAGGATTAAAATATACGGGGAATCATGGTTATTTGTAAATATTAGCATTTTTTATATCGTCATTACAATCCAACCAATCCACAAAGAAGCATATTGTGCTAATCGACAATAGTATCATGCCACGTTAATATTCTGGGAAGCTCCTTTGCGACCAGAATGCAAGGAACTCTTGAGCTCCTCCAAGGCTTCTAGGGGGTTTGTCGTAGTTCTCAGAAGCCGTCTCAACAGTAATTTTTTTCTGATCTCTTCTAAAACTGAGATGAATCTTCACAATTGCATTATTCTTAGTGTAACTCCCATTCCTATTTTTAATTACTATCAAGCACTTACAGTTTATACATTTATTGTTTATAACTATACGCTTCTCATGCGAAGTATGTTTTTTGGTGTCCGTTTGCACTAATATTCAGGTGTTCAAATAAATAAATAGCAGCGCTATAGATAAACCTGACACACCAGTCGTCAAAGTATAATAACGCATAATGAGTAAAACTTGTCAACCCCGTGAGTTCAAATCGGCACAAAGGAAAGTTTCTAAATCAAGTCGTAGTACACTCAACAAGGCTTGTTCCTGTATGAGATGCTGAAAATCCGATTCGGCTAGGCTCAAAAAACATACTTTGGGTTTGTTCGTAAATACTGGCACTCGCTTCGACGTCGTCGATCTTGATTGTACCAGAAAGGGTTTTATTGAAATTTTTAAAGTTTCAATAGTTCAAATCATGAGTCAATTGAAGCTAGACCAACACGGAAAACCTGGAAGCACTGGAAGACCGTTTCGTCATAGTATGGGACTCCTCAGCAGTGCGCATCCACGATCATGCATTCCGCGAGATTTGAACCCAGGACCTTTTGTTCTCGCATGCGAGCGCTTAACCATTAGACCAGTGGGGTTCTGTTGTGAGATATCAAATCACTGAAGACAAGTGTGTATAATGGCGCAACCCCGTGGATTGTTGAAGTTAGACATCGACACCGTTTGAGGCTGGCTCAGTGGTCTAATGGTTGAGCGCTCGCGCGCGAGGCTGATAGGTCCTGGGTCCGAATCTCGCAAGGGGTGAGATCGTGGATGCGCAACGCTGAGCAGTCCCGCAATAGAATGAAACGTTTGTCCAGTGCCTCCATGTTTTCCTTTGTATTCTTACCTTCAATTGACTCATGATCTTGATTTTATCTCTCAACATTTGTGGGGCATTTTTTGCGGTGATCAGATGCAGTAATTATCGAATGCATTACAGCTGAAACTGTGGAACATGTTTTCTCTGGATAGTAGATGTCAGATTCTAGTTGTCCTGTATATGTTTCCATAGCATAGAAATTCGAATCTTGCCTACTCTCTCATTTCAACGGAGCTCTCATGATAAACTGGGTCCTAAGTGACTGGCTGCCACCCATAAACCGATGATACAGTAGAACGGTTCTATCGGCAATTGTGGGCCTCCTTTACATCCTCAAATGTGTCAATATTTACCGACCAACCTCCACTTATCTTAATAAAACTTCAAAGCCATGTGAAGGTCGATGATGTATGCACTATAGTAGAACTTGTAGCGGCAAAAATCCCCAAAATAAATAGCTCTGTAAGTTTTCGGCACTGGGTGCCGATTACATTAGTTTTATTGGACTCATGTAGCTGAAGGCTCTCGATCATGCATCAGCACCAGATCACGAGTAGGAACGCTGTGCTCGAAAGCACCTGCAACAGCTAGCCAGATTAGATCAGACGATTCTCGATATATTGATAGCTTATCAAATATATCTTCAAACATCCTCGCTTCTGTCTTTTTGATTTAACTCAGTGGGTACGATTCATATTATGTATTACTGGTTAAAGTGTTGTCAAACTCCGAATGCCCGTGGCATCTTCAAACGTATTAGTGATAAAATGGTGCAGAAATAACTCGAAGTATTTAACTTACCATTAACCATTATTAACACAGAGTTTTGTATATATTCCTTCTCCTCAAGCTTTGAAGTTACTTGCCTGTAACTTTCAATTATCAGCATCGGTTTTACTTTGTTTTCTCATGGCATTTTGTAATTTTCGCTCTAAAGACCCGAAAATTGAGAGCTTGTTTTTAAATTCGTCATAATTATTTCTAAGGCAATATTTCTGTGTTGAACAACTGAGACTCAGTAATTGATTTGAAATTTAGTTTCCTTGTTATCTGGGTTATAAACTACGAATGTATCAATCGACCAGGTTTCAAGTACGGGCCAAAGTAAAATTCGAACGTAAAATAAAGTCCTTTGACACCCAGAAGAACTTGGAGTTTACGTATATTTATTACTAGGTTCAGATGTTATACTTACTGTGAGCTATGTGTTCAATTAAGGATGGCTCCTACCGGACTTCAACAAACCGACATTTCGCCCTAAACAGAGTTTGTGTATGATACACACGTCTGAATATTTTGATTCACTACGCTAGCTGCTCATTGTAGTGTATGAAAGAATCTCAAGAGTTATTTTCCATGACTTAAGGTAGCGTACCATTGGGAAAGACAAGAATAGGGATTGCTCTAATATTGAGTGGTTGAAAACTACAAACTGATCTATCGACCTCCCGACCAAAACACTCAAAATAAAAGTGACCAAGGAAATCACAGGGCTCCACTAAGCAAAACTCAAGCAGGAGGATTTCAGACATCGCGCAAAATCAAGAACGTTTCCTCTTCAAATTTTTCGTTTTCATTCCTCGCGCGTTCCAATCCTTTTATTACAACCTGGATTTTTATGATGATCTGTAACACGAAATGCTGACTTATTGTGTCTTCATTTGTACCAAGTACTTCTTCAGGAACTTAACAACACAAAGTGTGAGTGGAATATGCATTTATTAACGCTGATATAAGGTTTCCGTCTGGACGAGAAACTACTACCATCTGTTCTACTGTTCATACCCTACCTTCGCTTTACTTTTACTTTGGTCTTGCAACACAAATGTCTTAGCTTTCTTTCTTATGTATGACACAGTTCAGTCTCGTAATTCATGAGTATATGCTGTCTCACCATTTTCGAATTGCTCAGAGAATTATGAACATTGTCAGTCGTATAAGTCTATTATTTTCACCGAAACATCTGCAAAATGATCATTCAAATTAGTCAACAAATCAGTAAAACAACGAAATAAAATAGCATCATATCAATTTATGAAGTTCGAGTTCATAATATGTTATGTCTAAAAAGAGGTAAATGTTCGAAACAAGAAAAGTTTGAACATTGTTTTATTGATATCATTCAATCACATTTTATCAGACAACTCTGTCGTCATAGTGAGCTTCTAGTGAACATTTGATTATCAACATACCGGAGTTCAAATGTCTGACGACGAAGCTGAAGAAATCGAAGAGGAGGAGGGAGTGTATTTAGGAGTAAGTTCACTATTTTTCAGGCGTAAGCAAATATTAGGAATATGAAGGAGGGCGAAATGAGCGTGATGAACGTCATGGTTACGGTAAAGCGATACTTCCGAATGGAGATACATATGAAGGAATGTATGAAAACGGGAAAAGAAATGGATCGGGAGTGTATAGGTATTTTTTTATTTCAAATATAAGGTTCAAAGATTCAAAAATGGTGCACGTTATGATGGGACGTACGAGGATAACAAAAGACAAGGTCAAGGAACATTCTATTACCCCGATGGTTCGACTTACGAAGGTTTGTAGCAGCTAGAAATGCCTTAGTTTCTATCTAGGGAACTGGAGCGAAGGCTTGCGATATGGCCAAGGGAAGTATACATATATTAATGGCGATACTTATGAAGGGGAATGGAGAGATCATTTGAGACATGGCAGAGGTACATACACATTCGCCTCAACTAAACTACAATATATTGGAAACTGGAAAGGTGGTAAAATGGACGGTCATGGAGAATTAGTTCATCCTCATCACCGATTTATTGGGACTTGGAAAGATGGAATGGTAATGGATATATTGCCACATGTCAGCAATTTTCTCTCCACATATGTTATTACTTAAGATACGAAACCTTATAGCTATTAAAAGCCTAGGAATTTTTTGTTGGAGACTAAATCACTTTTTGTTTTGGTTTTTGAATCAAAAGCGAAATCAAATTATGTATTAATATACCATTTTTATAGTTTATTTAAAATCACATCAACACTCAGATCTGGATGAATCGAACTAAGTAGTATTCAACACCAGTTGATCAGCAACTTGCTGCGTGAATACATTTACAACTATGAGTCCATAACTGACAGTTATAATCAATAAACTAAGCTCTAAAATTCTCCCTCACATTTAATTACATATCATAAACGATTGGAAGAAAACAATTTCATAATTTACTCTCAATCTAATCGATTAAGTCACTGCTCCTATACCAGAAATCTGATGAAATTTCTAAACAAGAATATCTCAATGTGGTTGCTTATATCTGACCACAAATACTTTATAGCAAATTAGTTTTGTTTTAGTGAGTGACACAGTGCAAATTATATATCAGCGTTTTATTCATCTTTATTTATTGGTTTCGTGCACCAACAGACGCACTGAACTTAATAGAAAAACTTAATAACTTTAAAGTGTTTAACGATTACTTGGCTGATTAAAAGAGGAGAAGGATAGTAATCCTGAAACCTTTGAAGAATGTCCATCCAACATACTCTTTACTAGAAAAAACATTACGTTGAAATTTAAAAGCGTTGCGTTTCATTTGTTGAAACCTTAATGACACATAGTTAGAAAATGCGATTGAAGCAACTTGTGATCTGTCACTTAGCAGTATACAAAACAACAATATCTACAAATAGTTTCTGTAAATATTTTTGAATAAACCAATATTTTATTACTTCGTAGTCATTAAATCTATATGAATTCCATTTATTTTGATTTAGGTTATTGGTAAGGGTAGATATATTTTTCAAAATTCAAGCTGTCAGCAAATGGGTGAATATTTAACCACATCAGCAGTAAGTCAAATATCGTTTTGACATAAAATACTATTAACATTACCAACATAGTACATTAATTGTTTTATTATACGTTTATTGGAATGTATTCCTACACAAAGTTTGAAGTGGGTAGATTGTTGATTTTTTTATTCTTAGTTACTCAGTAGACAGTAATCATAAAACCCCTTAATGAAGTTGAACTAAAGCTTCCACAAAATGTTTTTTATACTTATGACCGATTTCATCTGATGAAGTGTAGAGTAATGTTTATTCCAACTTTATAATTATACTTTAACAGTCAGTGGAAATATAAGACAATGTTCTTATATGCAATCTTTCTTTTATATATTACTACCACTTAATTAATTAGTTCTATATATCTGATGTTCATCTTGCTGTGCTAATGAGGTATGTCAACTTGGGCCGATGCATATATGTACCTGGTTCAACGTTGTAGCTGACTTACTGATTGTACAATAGGCTAGTTAGATTATAACATATTTCCAGTATTATTACTGCTTAACTCATGCACATGTAGGACACCAAAATACTTATAGATTTCAAAATACTAATGTATTACCATTCACTACGTAGATTAAGATATTATGATGTGGTTATTTAAATACATTAGTCTGAGAAAAGTGCAAATCTTCATTAGAACACTGTATACCAAAACCAAAAGGTTTTAATAGAGAACCCGAGTCATAGACGTGTCTTTTTGTTTAGTACAAAAAACTAGATACAGAGCTTTCTGTGGATTACTATGGGCTTATATTACCTTTTGTGTGGAGTTTTATAAGGTGTAATTTCTATTCAATACATTTTCCCTTCACGTTCAGTTATATATATATATATATATCAGTTAATTAATTATCAAACAATAACATTCCGACAATAGATTCTTGCAAATAAATTTTTCCAAGATTATCATTAATAATAATATGTTCTCTTTCAAACACAATTTCTAGCTGAGTGATGACAAAGTAGAAGAAGAAGAAAGTAAAACGATCCCTCGATGGAAGGCAACAATGATTGAACCATTGAGTGAAGAGGCAAAACATTCCCTAACAAATCTAAAAGGAACAGGTACTTATCATTTGAAAGCGATCTTATAACAATGTTTATTAGGTCACATAGAATAGTAACCATATTAATACAATTACCTATAATGATATTTAATAATAGCCAACGATTAAACTGGCACATGAACACTTAATCTGTTTGGCTCCGTATAACTTTAATTGCCCCTACTGAACTAGGATAGAGTATAAAAGCTTATCATTTCAAGCAGTGGAGCGTTCTCAAATAAAATACTTGGTTGTAAATGAAAGCTCTTCAATAAATGGATTCTGATCAACAGGATAACACGAACCTTTGGTTACAAATTACACTATAAAATTAATACTGAATGCATATGTATGACAGGATTACACATCTACAATAGATTGATCAATGAGTAGTGACCAATATTATGCGGATCTAGTCTTCAGTGCTCAGAGGATCTTACTGATCAAGTTTCAGTATGGATTTAAAACCCAGAGGGGGCATCATTTCTTTCAAGATGATAGATATGCCTTATTAATGAGCTCATAATAACAGAAAATCTAGATCCACGGTTTCCTGTTGAATGCTACCAACAACCTAATGTGCCCATTTATAGAAAGTCTCTGTAATTAAAATTGGAAGTACAAACCACTGGACACCACCGAATCAAAAGTTTGTGGTCGCTGTGAGATCTTAATTCCTAGAGAATAAGTGGGAATATTTCAGAAACCCTATACTAGAGCCGGATAGTTATCCAGTGCTCCTTGGTTTCCCAAGGTACCATTACTTGGGCTAAAGCACGACAATAAGTTCTGTAATCTGTATAATCATCAAAATTGAGAGATATGGATCACTCGTAAAACTTCTGGTATTTCCATTTTTTGAAGTCGAATAATTTTGCATTGGAATAATGTGAACTGATTCATTCTGCGCAACAAATTCCAAAATGGTCGTTGACTATTCAAAATAAAGAAAATGAATGTGTTATTATGGTTTCATTGTCTAAATAAGGTAGTATAGTTACTGGAGTTTGTTTTGACATAGCTATAAGCTTTCATTAACTGAATTAGCCAGAGTATGTGTAGTTTAATCGAAATTTCACATTTACACCACTAGATTGTGAATCACTGGTTTAAAGGTTAGGTACTCGCAATCGAGGTCGAATGTTCTCAACTTGATCGTGGATGTGCACTGTCAAAAAGTTTTAAATCAGGATATGACAGCTCTCCAGTGCTTTTTGGTTTTCAATGATGGCGTAGTTAAGATAAGTTCATGATTTAACCTTTAAAAATTTTATTGAATAATTTTCAATTATTTATAGATTGATATTCTTCTTAACTATTCTCTTTTTTTCATGTAAAGCTTCTGAAGGAAAACCAACACAAGAAACATCTGAAGAGGACAAAGTTAAAGTGAAGCAAATAGATGATGATGGTGACAACGACAATCAAACAGAACCCAATGGTGATAATGATATCGACCGATCTGAACAAGGTGAAGTCGATCAACAAGATGTGATTCGAACAGACGATTCTAAAGATGATGATGATATCACTGAAAATAAATCAGCTGTGGAAAATGAAGTACCTAAACCTCAAGGTACGGTAGAAGAAGAACAGGAAGATGAGGATGATGATGAAGGTGATGACGACAATACAGAAGTATAATAAGAACTACTGATGTCTTTCTCTATGATAATATACATGATGAATGATTTTGAATAAAAGGCTTCCATTATCCTTTCTTGTTTTTGTTTCTTCAAGCTATAGGTATTACACAAAATTCAAAGATTATAGAACTATACAGGTTTAAAGTGATTTTTATAAAACCAGATGAACTAGCTTTAGAAAAACCATCATACTAATGAGTGTATTCATGTATACGTTAGTCATCTAATATGTTCATTTCTTAGACTATCAGTTCAACTTGCAGCTGAATGATGATGGATTAAAACTGTTCAATTACAGAAAATGTATGGTTGAATACATTGTAGATACTTTTTATTTGAACTAGATAATCTGTTTATGACGCTGTGATGTGTGCTACTGAAATCACTAGATATAAGTAGTATGTAATATTAAACAAAAATGAAATGCCTAGAGGCAGAAGAGAACGAGAACAGAAAGTGGTTAGTGTGGAAACGAAGTAACAATCATGTCTGAGACGATTGAATGATGTTTTGCAAGTGAAGTACACTTAACTGTATGGTTCTCAGATGTTACTAAGATGTTCTGCAATATTGTGTTCGAATACATTCGATTGTTCCTACTTGTGTGTTCTCGTTCACTAAAAAGCTTCTGCAAATGTTCGGATTGCTATAGAAATACACATGTCACTAATCCTCGTGCAAAATCATCGGCTTAATCCGCGTTGAGTGAATAACAGAAGTAAATAAGTGAAATACGAGAATGGATTATGAATACGTATATTTCTATACAATCGTTGATCCAGACAAACAGGCGGAGAAACGAAGTGAAGAGGAGAGAGTGAAGCGAATTGACACTTAGCGGAGAAGATATGTGAGCCAACTGTCTTTAGTCAAGCGTTAATGAAAATTTATAGTCATACAAAAATAAGTTAGAGATATGTGATGAATAGGATAAGAAGTGTGAACACAGATATGGTCCGATGAAAACAGTCAAGATTGATAAGTGAATAAGTGACAAGGCAAAAATGTTACTCAAGAAGAATGAATTAATTGGCTTGTTCGGAAGCCAAAATAAGCTATGTGGACTTTACATAGTAACTGACACTACAATGTGTATTGATTGTAGTCTTCATTGTGCTCACATTTACATCAAGATATCCTAATGGAATCTAGTAAATATTACTGATATCATAAATCTACCTAAGTTAGGGATCCATGGAAGACTTTTGAGCTTAGATACTTACTTGCTTACTCCTGTTATAGATCGGGGAGGAGCATAGGCCACTCATCAGCATTCTCTATCCAACTCTGTACTGGACAGTCCTTTGAAGTTAGTTCCAATTGCTATTCATCCATTTCATGTCTGCTTCCGATTCTGAGTGCAGTATTTTTTCAGCCCTCTTTTTTTCCATTTCCCTTCAAAGTTTCAAGTAAGTGGTTGCCTCGTGATTCAGTTTGATGGTTTCCGCAATGCCGGTTCGATTTACACTTAGCGTCTTCCCTAATTTCCTTATCATCTAAAAACTGATGTATTCTTTCGCACAGCAGGCTGTTGCTGGTGGTATCCAGCCGACGGATATTGAGTATCTTGTGTGGACAATTATTTATAAATACTTGTACATTTTTGATGATGGTTGTGGTAGTTCTCGAAGTTTCTGCTGCGTATAACAGAATTGTCTTGACTATCGTATTTGAGATTCTGACTGTGATATTGATTGACAGTTGTTTTGAGTTCCATATGTTCTTCAGTTGTGACGATGCCGTCCTTACTTTGCAAATCCTCGCCTTCACATCTCCGTCAGATTCTCCTTGTTAATTGATAATGCTAGCCAGGTACATGAAAGTTCCGACTTCTCCCAGAGATTCTCCATCAAGTATGATTGGGTTGGCGTTCTCCGTGAAGACTGGAGAGTACTGAACAAATGGTATTTATTATTATTTATTTAGTTGGACACATGAATATTGGTACAAGAGAGCGCCAATATATATGCGCCACACAGAACAATGAATATTCGAAGAGGAATACCAAAAAAGAAAAAAAAAGAAGCTAAGGAGCACAAAAAAAAGAGAGAACAATAACGAAGAGATTGGTGTAAGGTAATGTGCTAGTAAACAGAGAACGCAAAGGTACAATCGGAAGAAATCTTTCAGGTAAGGGAGACAGAACCACTTTTTATGAAGAAAGTAAAAGAAGGTTACAGCAGGATCGCCACTGGCTTCTATTCTGAGCCATATCTGATAACGTCTCTAGCCACTGTGTAGCACCATCTCTCGGACCCCAACCAGGGAGTCGTGAAGTACCGACAGAAGCCAGTCCTTTGCAGCTTTCTTTCATACCACGACACCATGTCATGCACTGACCACCTCTCCGCTTCTTCCAACCAGTCTCAGAGTCGGCAAATAATGCACGACGTGGAATCCTCTGGGACGACATTCGGAGAACATGTCCAAACCACCGAAGTCGGTGTTTCAAGATGGTGACATCTATTGCATTATCATCTCTGTGCCCGAACACACGATGCCGAACCTCTGCATTACTAACATGGTGCTACCACTGGATATCAGCAATCCTTCGGAGACAACGATGATCGAACACAGAGAGTCGTCTAACGTCCTCAACTCGGAGAGACCAGGTTTCACAAGCATAGAGCAAAACTGCTCTCACCGACGCGTTGTAGATCCGACCTTTTACAGCCAGACTAACATCACGAAGGCGCCAAAGATGGCTCAGATTGGCATAAGCCGCTCTGGTTTTCACTATACGTGAATTGATCTCATCATTCACACCCCCACCAGCACTTATGCAGCTACCCAGATACACGAACTTCTCGACTACGTCTATCTGCTCACCATCCAGGGTGAGTACAGGATTGGAATCCTGCCAGTCTTGTAGGAGCACTTTGCACTTCGAAGGTGCAAAGCACATACCATACCTACGGACACTGATTGCCAACTGATTAAGTGCGGATTGCATGGATTGGGCATTATCGCACAGTAAGACAATATCGTCCGCATACTCAAGGTCGAGAAGTCTTTCTCCAGGCAACAGATCCACACCACCATTACTTACATTCATTAGAGCTGTTTCCAGAATGTCATCGATGGCAAAGTTGAAGAGGAATGGTGAGATTGGGCAACCCTGCCTAACCCCACTGCTCGAATGGAACAATGGAGAGAGGTGGTTGTATGCCCTCACTCTGCCTGAGGTGTTTGTATATAGGGCTTTTAGGATGTTAATAAACTTCTCAGGCACACCCTTCTTCAATAGACAATCCCAGAGAACAGTCCTGTCCAACGAATCGAAGGCAGCCCTGATGTTAAGAAACACTACGGTTGTTGGCCTTTGATAAGTATGGCGGTGTTCTAACATTTGGCGGAGGGTGAAGATATGATCAATACATCCTCGACCAGAACGAAACCCAGCCTGCTCCTCGCGAGTCAATCTTTCTCGGGTTTTGAACAACCTACGAAGTATGACGGAAGCCAATAGCTTGGACGCAATCGGAAGTAGACTTATCCCCCGATAGTTGTTACAGGAACGACGTGAACCCTTTTTAAAGATAGGGACAACTATCGACTCATTCCATGACGTTGGTACACTCTCTAGTTCCCAAACCTTTGTAAACAACGTCGTCAATTCCTTAGTTAGAGAGTCACCACCATCTTTAAAAAGAGCCGGAGGTATGTGATCTGGGCCAGGTGATTTGTAGCGCTTCAAGAGTTGGGGTTCCTTGCGGACTTCCTCCTCGTTTGGTGGATCAGTCGTCACCGGCCATGGAGGGCAGGACAGTCTGACCGATGTTGCCGGAGCAGCAGGCCAGTTGAACTGCCCTTCGAAAAATTCTGCCCACCGTCCAAGACGTCGATGGATGTTAGTGATTGGTATCCCATCATCCTCGCAGATTGTTTCACTCACACCAGACTTCTTGCTGCCAGTGGCTCGGATGAGCTGGAAGAGCTTCCGGTAGTTACCAGATGCAGCTGCTGCTTCCAGCTCATTAGCACGCTTCGACCACCAGGTTTCTCGGTCCTTACGCAAGCTTTGCCCAATTTCCTTACGTAACATCCTTCGTTTATGGTCAAACTCACGGTCACCCGGAGTAGACCGACGGGCTTCAATGAGTTGTAAGGAACCAGAAGAAACCCAGTGCTTAAAAGCGGGACGTTTCGCAAACCCACAACTGACTGTTTCCGCCATTTTCATGGCGTCATGCAATTGCAACCAATGCTCATCTATACTTTTCGGTGGAGTGGTAGCTAGCCTAGAGGCTAGCTCGGTTCGATACTTACTTGCAACAGAAGTTGCAACCAGCTTTCTAACATCAATCTTTTGGTGGTGGTCACTCCGTTGGCCACTGAAAAGTAAGGCAAGATTGGTGCAGACCAAGGCATGGTCAGAGTCCAGATAGGTACTCCAAAAGGAGCGGCAGTCTTGTACACAACCACGCCAGCGGTAGCTGATCGCGATGTGATCAATCTGAGTCCAGGCTTGGGATGCAGAGGGAGGACGCCAGGTGGCACATCGGCGATGACTGTGCCGAAAGTTAGTGCTAGCCAGAAACAGGTTGTGGTCTGCGCACAGTTGCAGTAGACGGTCCCCGTTATCTGACCTGCGACCAACGAGTCCCCATCGGCCACCTAAACGACTCTCTTCTGTGCCTAGACGCCCGACCTGAGCATTCAAGTCTCCGGCTAGTACTACAATATCTGTCGAACGCACTTTCTGGAGAAGAACAGATAACTGGTGGTAAAACTCATCCTTGATTGCATCCGGGCTGCAATCTGTCGGGGCATAGGCGGAGATGACGAAAAGACATCGTTTCTCACGCCGATTTCTTCTCACTTTGATGGAACTTTCTAATCTAACAGCACATAACCGACTGTTAATGGGGATCCAATCGACTAGTGCTGCCTCAGCTCTAGCGCTTAGTGCGACACCAACGCCAGCAACACCAGACGAAGATGCCACAGGGTCCCCGGATAAACGCATGTAAAACAAGCTTTTTGAAGTGACAGATGTAGAGCGAATTTGTAGTACTTCGCTAGAGTCTTGAATACGGGTCTCGGATAGACAACAAACATCAATATTAA